TCGGCGGGCTTCTTGGATTCGATGCGCATGCCGAGTTGCTAGAGGATGTTACGCCAGATTGTCAGCGTCACCGGGGTGGGTTGGACACGAAGAAAGGTCCGCACTGAACGCCAGGTGGGAAGATTCGTTGGCAGAGGATCAAGGAGCAGCGCGCGAGGAATCACATACCTGGTGGGTCAATGAATGTCAACGAAGCAGCTGCCAACCTCATTCATAAGATACCAACGATAGAGCAGGACATGATGTGCGTTTGCCCCGACAGAGAAACTATGCATCCCACAGAGGACTATTTCACCGCGAATATGATAGGTTGTGGACGCCAAGGCGTCCTTGCAACGTTCCAGACCGGCAGGTTTGCGGAGGCAGCGTGGGACTGATGAGTACGCGTCGAATTGGCCGGCGCGATGGCCAGCACATATCCGCGCATCGGTCGTGGGCCTGTCTGCCTCGCCTGCAGGGTGGATGGGCTCCCGCGTCAGCTTGCGGGCTTCGCAACGTCGCGGCAGAAGGGGGGGAATGATCAGAGGTTACGGGGGGGGGGGGGCAGGCGAAGGTAGGGACTGCATTAATGTGCGCAGGCGCTTTTCTGGCTTTCGATCAGTTGAGTCTCTTCTCCAGTCCGCGCGATGGAATCTTCGCAAAGTTGCTTCGCACGCAACGATGCCTCGACGTAGCTTGTTACAGGCGGTTCAGATTGGTCAGAGGGTATTGGGGAAGTGGGGAGCGGCGGAGGTGGAGGAGTAAGAGCACTCTATTCGCACGCACTTCTTGGCTTTTGATATGTTGCGTCTTCTCCAGTTTGCCTGTGCGCGCTCGAGCCTGTTCGCTTTGCAAATTTTTAGCCGTGGCACATTTTGCACCATGCGTTCACGCGCGCAGCAAGAGCAGTGCGTTTCTTGGACGTCTCTGTCTTCAGAATTGCCGCAATACTCACCTCACAGGCCACCTGGGCTAGCTCAGAAAAAAAAGCTGTGTTGTGCGGGAAGATGGCTACAGAATTCTCGTTGCGTCGGTTCCCGCGAAGCCTCAGACAGATCGGGTTTGGAGCGCATCGTCCAGTGCGGTGGCCGAGTGTCTGGCTCCAGGCTCCTGGTGTAGATTTTCAGCATTCATTGTTCGACATGTTACGAGAGCGAAGCTTGTGGTGCGATCGGCCTGACCGTGGTGTATGCGATTCCACGGTTGCACCAGCTTCCTCTCGAAGAACATGTCCTCACCATCTTCGCCATTTTTGTCTTCCCCCTTCTCTTTACACTCGTGGTCTTTGTCCTCATGCTCATCGTCACGACCGTCCTCTTCGAAAGCGTTTTCTTGGCATCCTTGTATTCCACCTTCTCCTGGCATCAGCCTCATCATCCCACTCATGTTCCTCGTATCATTAGTTTCCTCATCCCTCGCCTAATCGCCATCCTTCATCCTCATTCTCCCCCTCTTCCCAGTATCCTCCTCCCTTCTTTGCGCGGGTCGCGCGCCGGCAGTCATTGGGACAGCCAGATTGCCGCCTACAACCTCGGCGCGTCCGAGTACGCCAAGGACCGTGGAGTGGAGAGGAGGAGGGAGCGGAATGCATTTGAGGCGAGCGGTCGAGGCGAGGGCGGCATGGGGGGCGGGTACGGCACGTTGGTGTCGTGTCGATGCGGCGGTGGTCCCGGCGCGGGCGTGCAAGCCTGAACGCCTCCCGCGGCGCAGAGCTGAACGACATCGAGCGATCTGTGCTGTCCCGTAGCCGCGCCCTCGCTCGAGACGGGGCGCGCCGTGCCGTGCCAGGTGCAGGCGCCGAGACTGTCAAGTCACCGATGGGGTGACCCAAAAAACAGAAGGGGGAGCTTACCAGTTTGAAACATATCCATATCCCTATGTTTGACATCACCTCACCTCGATGCCGATCTTCAGGATTCCCTCAGTTTTTGAGGGCCTATCCCTAAGATTGTCCTCGCTTTTTGCTCGCCCATCTTAGGGATAGGGAGACGTTTGAGGCTGGTTAGACATCGAACGAGCTGTGCTGCCCCGTGGCCGCGCCATCGCTCCAGACTGGGGCGATCCGTGCCGTGCCCGAGGCAGGCGCCGAGACTGTCACGTCACCGCTGGGGTGACCAACAAAAAGGGAAGAGGGAGCAGGAGGAGGAGCAGGGAAGGTCCCTTCCCTGCTCCTCCTCCTGCTCCACCTTTCCTCCTCCTCCTCCTCCTCCTCCTCCTCCTCCTCCTCCTCCTCCTTCCCTGCGCCTCTGCCCCCCACCCCCCCCACATTAGGTGGGGGGGGGTTGGGGGCAGAGGCGAGGAGGGGAAGGAGGAGCAGGACGAGGAGCAGGGGCCAGGCCAGCGCTTCCCCCTCGTCGCCAGGGGCGGGCGGCTGACGCGCAGAGTGCGCCGCGATGGCCTCCCCCCCCGTCGTCGCGGCGCACGGCGAGCTCCGGGGGGCGGCTCGGGGGGCGTCGCGCCGCGCCCCGCCCGTGCCAGGGGGAGGAGCGGCCAGTCGACAGCGCGGGAGGGGCCCGCCAGAGCCTGCCGGGGCCCTCGCCCCGGAGGGCTCACCGCGGTCGGGTGCTGGCCCCCCCCCGCTTTCAGCGTCCTCGCGGTCGCGCGCAGCAGCGGAAGCAGCATCCGCCACATGCCCGCCCGAAGCTGCTGCACAGGAGCTGCTCTCGCCTGCCCCGAGCGCGCGCGTGGCCGAGGCGCCGACCACCACGTGCGAGGGAAAACGGCAGCTACAGCAGCGTTTGGCGCCAGCTGCCCCGCCCAAGAGCGGCGCGGGTCTGCTCGCCACTTCGCACCGCGACCTGGTCGCAGCATGGGTGCTGATTGCGTCTGCTCCCGTGCTTCTCTTCTCTCGCCTCCACCCTGGCCCCCGCCTCTCGGCGGGGGTTGTGGAGCGGGCCTAATTCAGCTTTGCGCCCAGCCACTTCTCGCTCTTCTCGCAATGGCGGCGTGCCTTACCACCGCCTGCATCCCCCGCGCGCAATACTCACAGCGTTGTAGCGTATGTTTCGCTCACTGCCGCCTTCCTCCCACGAGCTATGCCCAGCAATGTAGCCGATATGTTGCTCATTGCCTGCTTTCTCGCCTGAAGTACTCCCAGCATTGTAGCTGA